ATTTGTGTCCTCATAAACCACATAAACATGCACACACACAAACACACACACACACACACACACACACACAAATGCACAATGTACACAATGTAAAGGCACAGGGACAGAAAGAAATTCAAGATACAGAGGAGATAGAAGGAGAGATGGAAAGGGTGGAAAGGGGCCTATGCTGCGCACACACCCCCAGCACTGAAGCTCTGGTTGTCATGGAAACTTCCTATTGTGTGAGTCGGCCTGATGCCTTCATATGTCTCATGCACCACACACACACACACACACACACACACACACACACACCTCAAGCATTTTACAAAGCAAGAGGCCAATGCATTGTGAAAAACAATTATACTTCCTGGAACATGACAAGGCACAAGCAGCAAAGAGACAGCACTGACAGTAAACTTTTTGGGACATAAAATCTACATCTCTCAGTGAGTTTAGTGCAGTCTAATTGTTATGCTGTTGGATACCTGAATGTCAATCCAATCAGATATGCTTTCCCACGTTTTCCAGAGGACAAATAAACCAGAAAGCATGGGTTCTGAAATTCCGACACAACCTTCAACAAAACAGTCACCAAATAGTAGGATTCGGACCCCAACCAGTTCCATCTGGACCTCAAATCCTTTCTCACAAATTAATATTGTCATAAATATATTTTGTGTTCAAAATGGATTTCTGTTGAAAATAAAGTAGATACAGAAGTATTTACACAGAAATGGCTACTTAAGGTAACAACTGCACACTTTCACATTTCACCATGTATACTAGACTAAGCAGCAGTTTGGAGACTACTTTGTCTATGCAGGATTTATTATTTCACATTTTTACAAAGTACTATTGCTGCCAACTTGGAAATGTACAATAATGCACACTGCTAATTTAATTTAATAAGCATTTAAGCCATATTTGCTAAGAAGGAAATGTAGTGACTGAACCTCCTAAAACTTTAATTGAATATCTCTGACCTAGAACCTTGCGATTTATTGAACAAATTGTACTCGTGTCTTTCATAACTGTGCTTTTGTCAAATTAAATATGGCATCTATGGAAGGTCTATGATGCCACTCTCTAGAGACAATATCCTTTTATTAAATAATTCCATTTGTACTACAATGAACTATGAATACTTATGCTTGGAAATTTTAGATAAGGTTGACATGATAGCATCATATGATCGTTCTCGATCATTGCCTGCTAGTTTTTTTTTTCTGAGAAGTTTTTAGTTGATTTGTGAATTTTTTTCTCTCCTATTGCATCTTGTGGGACACATTTGCCTGAAAATCCCTGGGTAAATTCATGCACAAACACCAACCCATTCAGAGGTGTTTATCTTCAAACCCCCATGGCTTGTCATGAATAACATCCAGCATGATTCATCACCCAATTTCACTCAATACCCCCATTCTCTTCTTCAGCCACTCACGGCATTCCATTTAACCAAGACACCCACCCACATACTTCCATTTCTACCAATCGGAAGATCCTTCGCAATCACTCAGATCGCGTGTGATTGCAGCTGCTCCTCTGGGTGAAAGGAAAGACATAGACGCAAAAAACCATTAGGCCGACACGAACCTCAGATATGGCAGATAAAGCTTCACAGGTCAGCGCCTGTCATTGAGTCTGCTCTCTGGGGTAGAGCTAATCCAGTCGGCCTTTCTGAGCACTGACCCAATGCTGTGAGAGATAACAGGACAGCTGGTGTTAAAATCACCTGCCACACTGATGTGGAATATGATTTAGACCATAAAACATTCTCTGCAGAAATGTCCAAAAGTAGATGTGAATGCTCAGCCAACACCTTGCAAGCAATTGGTTCCTTTGTACATGCTTAACGCATGTTCTTGGATAACTGTGGTAGAAACAAACCTCCGTATTCAAGGGAGTGACAGAGGCACCTGTGGCATTATTATTTAGGGAGCTTGCTACAATCATGATGACAGTTTAAGGCATCG